CACTCCAGCTCTGGAGAACAATCTTGTCATACTGGGCTCAGATCCATTAAGCTTCTATTTCTCACCAGCAGTCCTCTCTCAGTCCAGCCTCTCTCCAGGGTGGACTTTCTCTTTTAGCTTCTGCAGATGAGTTCTTGTCTTCTTTTCCCCCACATCTGAGCCCCTGAATTGTGTCTCAAACGAATCAGCTCAGCTGGTCGAGTGCAATCATCTCAACTTTGTGTTGTGTCTAGCTGCTCTGCCTTCTTGATCTAGTTGGCACAATGAGTTCCAAATCATAAGCCACCTGCCTTAGTCTTAACCCACACTGCAAGGAGACCTATGACTTTTATGGATTTAACATGCTTGAAAACAATTTCAGAAGAGTTTGAACAGCATGGGAGGAGCTTTTGAAGGTGTCTTCCAAGGAGATATTCTAGGCTGAAATATGCAGAACTATACATAGTTATTCATCTTCATTATATTCTGTCTTTATATGACGGGCATTTCAACATGTAGCACTGTGTATGACACTGGCACTTTTACTCTGTCTTTAAACAGTTACTTAATACAGGCAGATAATTTTTGTATGAGGACCACATCTTTATTAAAATGTTATCAAGTTTATCTATTTTTCATCACACACTGACATAAAATCAGAGGTATCAGTAACAAAAAAAAATTCAGTGTTAGATTATTTCATTCTCTATTGCTTTGATTTGTCAAGAGTACCTATGGTGTCCAGAGTTTTGCTCTCACTTCTTTCAATCAAACTAAAAAAATGGGCTGACACAATTAAACTTTTTTTACTGAAACTGAATCAATACCATCAGGTAGAATTTTGCTGTGACAAATTGAAGGATGGAATTTTAAACATTATCATTTATAACTCTGAGTGCTCTCTCTTCTCCTTAGTTATTTTCTTTACTTTTTCAGGGAACATCTTTGTCCAGAATTCCACTCGTTTCCTTTTCAGTTTCTCTGCTTTCTTCTGCTTTAAATTTAATTCCAGGTATTCATCATTCAAATTATAGACTGGCCATTCCACCAAACCCTGGCCATTAGGATTTCTAGAAATGACAGAATAAAAAAATTAAATCTTCACATAATCAACTGAGACTAAATAAAGTCAAATGTTACAACACAGTAATTTAATAAATCATTAATCTCACCCATTTCGTGCAAAGTTAGCCCAATATTTCATTATTGTTCGACTGAGGTGTTTCTCTTCTTCCGTAGCCTCAGCTGAAAGGGAGAATATGTATATGTAACAAAAGCAAAATGTTTGAAATTGTACACGCATAATATCAAAGCATGAGTGCATTAGACTAATCAAGATACAAGTTACAACAGACTTGCTTAATTGGGAATGATGCCTACATACTTTTATTGTTTAGATTTCCTACCTCTTCTAATGCTAGTATTTTCAAAGTATAGCAACCAAAAAAATGATGATAGCTTATTACGTATGTTTCCAAGCACTCAGAACATTAGATCATTAAGTCCTTTTTCTAAAAATCATATACAGTAAAACTCCAATAGTCCGGCATCCAATAGTCCAGCACTCCTGATAGTCCGGCATCAAAATGGCAAGAGCCTAGTGAGTTTGTTTCAGCAAAAAATGAGTCACAAGGTAACAGCGGCAGCAGCTGAACTGAGCAAAAAGGGTAAAAAAGGCTTAAAAATGCTAAAACATTACAGTATACTGTATACAGTATGTACTATAAAATGGGTTCAGAACACTTTATATACAGTATATAATGTATACAGTATATATAAACCATCTTATAGTACCTCCTGATAGTCTGGCATATTTGATAATCCGGCACCATCTAGGTCCCATAGGTTCCAGATTATCAGAAGTCTACTGTATAAATATGTTTGCTTCTCAATGGATCATGTAAAGCTGAAACTCCTAGTCACTCCCTTACGGTGTGTCTACACAGCAGGGCTTAACTCAAAATAAGCTACGCAAATTGAGCAACATCAATTTCAAATTATTTTGAAATTGGAAGTGTCTACACAGCATTTATTTAGAAATAGAGCACTTTTCCTCTGACTTCCCTTACTCCTTTGTACAATGATAGTTACAGGAGTCAGAGTAAGAAGTCCTCCAGCTTGACTGTATTTTGACATTATTTTGAAATAACTGCCTGCTGTGTAAACTCAGACTAAGTTATTTTGAAATAACACTAATTATTACAAAATAATGTTACTGTGTAGACGTACACCCAGAGAATCGGGAAGGTACAATGAAAAACAGAAAAAGCTGTGAAGACAAATTCACAGAATGATTGTATGCTAAATTCAAAACTACATCATAATCTTGATGCAAAGGTGGAAAACTAATTTGTCAGCATGCATATATTTCCACATATAGCATTTAAAAGATGCAACAGATTATAGAAAAAAGTGTCATAAGTAACACTTTAAACAGTTTTCTTTCAATAAAAGAAAAAGTGTCTGAGCTAAATTATGTAGAATGAAGAATGGAAGGACACAAAAAGTATATCATTGTTATCAGGAAGAAATCCAGTGTTAATAAAAAGAATAACTAACAAATCTTTTCTTTGTTTGTAAAAGAACAAAGGTTAAAAAAGTGTGGGTTGTATTTGTTTTAAAGGCAAGCATACAGCTACGTGAAATAGGTCTATTTTATGACGAAAAAATAACATCTGAAAGATGAGTCCTTACCAATTATTTTCACATCACTTTCCAAGAATGGCCCACCAAAGACAAATCCAATTTCATCTCCATGATCTGCCTTTACAAAATCTGGCTTAGTATCTTTAAAAATACTAGGTCGATGCTGGAATTCATAAAAGTAGAGTGGAGCACCAGCATCTAACATTGAGAATCAAAGACAAGATTACAACTACTGTACTTTCCCCCAGGGAACCATTAAATTAGATCAACAGCTTCATGCATGTTCTGAAATCTGTTTTCATATTTTAAACAAGTTAAGTAGATTACATTTTTAAATGAAAAGCTAATTAAAATTCTACCTCAGTTAAGGTTTAGAATTAGTTGTTTCTGAGCTAGATTTCAGAAAATACAAGAGGCTGGGGTATAAGCAAACTATATTCACCAATTCAATCTCTCTCCTATCCCCTCCTTCAACCTAAAAAACACACCACCACCACAACCAGTACTGGATACAGAATGATTAGAACTGACTGGACCTCGGGACAAAGTTATTGTAGCAGTATCCAATAATAAATGAAATAACAATGTTTTGGCATACTGACTGAAAAATACAAGCTACCACAGGAGAAACATCCATTAGTTCCTGTTTTAGCTGAGAAAATCCAATCTCAGTGTTAACATGTTATGTTCTTTCATTTAATTGACTAATGCTGCATAAAACATGATTCCGTCTGACTCAGTACTCTGTCTGATATCAGAGCAGTAGGATCTAGTAACAAAGGAAGCGCTAACAAAGTAAACGGGGCATGGATTAGACTGGAGAAGGATGTCTCATCCAGCCCTATGATTGTATGATTCTATGAGTGACCAGTACCAAGTTTTACTCTTCAGAAAGCAAAGTCTAAACTGGAGAAAAATGCAGACAAAACCTTTTCTAAACAAAGGAGATAAAGACATGAACCAAACCTTACTGAAGACAATAAAAGTGTTTCCAATGACGTCAGTGAGTTTTGGATTAGGTCTTAAAGGAGGAGGCTTGTCCTAAATAATTTTCTCTGCCTAAGTTTCCTCTAAACTGCATGGCCATGTGGGCAGGTAGCTTCCCATCAAGCACTGTACAAGGGCTCAGGACTGAAGCAGTGAGAGATATCTCTCCCCAAACCCTAAAGCTGCCGGGGATGGTGAGGAGGAGCATGGAGCTGCCACAGCCAGTGGAGGGAAGCAGCTCCTCAGTGGCCCTATCCAGAGCCCTTGCACCCCAATCCTCTGTCTGAGCCTGGAACCCCTCAACACCGAGCCAGCATCCCCAGACAGTCCTTGTACTCCTAACTCTCTGCTCCAAGCCTGAGCCCCCTTCCCACACTAATAACTCCTTGGCCCCACTCCCGCCCTTGAATTTTGTAATGGGTACCAATCCGAAGGTGACGAGTTACAAATCGGTGCATGTAAGAAAATTCATTCTGCTCGGGGTAGAAAAACTTACAGAGAACAGTGTTCATCACTAAAGCAAACAGCATGGCAGAAGAGAACAAAGTGGTAGAAAATTATTATATGCAAGTGCAAAATCTTGAATTAATGAGAATTTTGCTACTGCCATAATAGCCAATTTAGAGCTCCAATGATTTACTCTCAGTTGAGTGCCAAATGGAAGTTGTAGCAGGTCAGAATTTTGGAGGCTGACTGGAAATTCACCTCTATGATATTTAGACACTTGAAGAGCTGGAATAACAAAGAGGATATCTCCCATCAGGTCCTGAAATCGGTCTCGCAGCTCAGCAGGGTCATCTGTGTCTCCTAAATATTCATCTGCTACCACAGACACAGATTCAGGGGGGAAATTCTGTAACGAAAGATACATCAATGGCAGTGTTTCACATGCTTCATTCTCAAGAATTCTTTCAGTCATGAATAAATAAATACTATTCACTGATTTTTCATTAGTGTTGGAGAAGCCAGAAGTAATGTGGCATTTTGGAACATTACTCTGGACAGTAGAGATTCATAGAATCATAGGACTGGAAGGGACCTCGAGAGGTCATCGAGTCCAGCCCCCCGCCCTCAAGGCAGGATCAAGCTCTGTCTACACCATCCCTGACAGATGTCTATCTAACCTGTTCTTAAATATCTCCAGAGAGGGAGATTCCACCACCTCCCTTGGCAATTTATTCCAATATTTGACCACCCTGACAGTTAGGAATTTTTTCCTAATGTCCAATCTAAACCTCCCCTGCTGCACTTTAAGCCCATTACTCCTTGTCCTGTCCTCAGAAACCAAGAGGAACAAATTTTCTCCTTCCTCCTTGTGACACCCTTTTAGATATTTGAAAACCGCTATCATGTCCCCCCTTAATCTTCTTTTTTCCAAACTAAACAAGCCCAGTTCATGAAGCCTGGCTTCATAGGTCATGTTCTCTAAACCTTTAATCATTCTTGTCGCTCTTCTCTGTACCCTTTCCAATTTCTCCACATCTTTCTTGAAATGTGGCGCCCAGAACTGGACACAGTACTCCAGCTGAGGCCTAACTAGTGCAGAGTAGAGCGGCAGAATGACTTCATGAGTTTTGCTTACCACACACCTGTTGATACAACCTAGAATCATATTTGCTTTTTTTGCAACAGCATCACACTGTTGACTCATATTCAACTTGTGGTCCACTATGACCCCTAGATCCCTTTCTGCCATGCTCCTTCCTAGACAGTCGCTTCCCGTCTTGTATGTATGGAACTGATTGTTCCTTTCTAAGTGGAGCACTTTGCATTTCTCTTTATTAAACTTCATCCTGTTTACCTCTGACCATTTCTCTAACTTGCTAAGGTCATTTTGAATTATGTCCCTATCCTCCAAAGAAGTTGCAACCCCACCCAGTTTGGTATCATCTGCAAACTTAATAAGCGTACTCTCTATCCCAATATCTACGTCATTGATGTATACACATTCCCTTAGGAATACAATTATAAAATAATGCAATATCTATAAACAAGAATGGAAAAAGAATAGCCTATATTAAAGAAACCACTGTTCTGGAGGGGCTGGAGTGGCACAAAAGACACCATTCACTTCAGGGTGTTGTATCTTCTCTTCCATTTACTTCCCTTTATGCCTGATAGCAGAGAGCAGCACACAGCCCTCAGTTCCTACTGTTCTATCCTTTCACTGGAGATAACACCAGAGGAGCCAAAGTTACTTTGGAATCCACTACTAAGCCTATGCATGCATAAATACTGAAAAAATAGAATAGTACCAATGGCATCAGATAGCCTCTTAAGTGGAACAGGTTTAAAATGAATATTAAAATAACACCCAGATAACCTGCTGGTCTCTTACCAATATTGACAATGTCTGCTGCAAGGATGAGATTATGGTTTGTTTCTCCATCCCTTCTTCTATGCCAGGAAAGTTACGTGCCTGTATACTCAAATAGTTTTTCCTTTACAATATTGATTAAACAGATTGGTTACCATGTATAATTTAATGAATAATGGCTTACTGCTTCATTTCATACTAGCCAGTAATGATGATTCATCTTTTTTAAATATGGTCTTGTTGGTTATAAAATTCAGTATTTAAAGCATCAGAAAAATGCTTGATGGTTGAGGAGATGGGCATCAAAAGTTGTGACAGTTTGAATTACTGAAAGCCTTATGTACTGTCATTTGAATAAACTGATAACGGAGATCAGATTTAGTACCATTCTCTATAGACAGTTCGATTGCACATGTTAAAACTAGAGCTGTCAAGTGATTAAAAAAAAAATCCACTATTAAACAATAACAAAATACCTTTTATTTAAATATTTTCGGATGTGTTCTATATTTTTAAATATTTTGATTTCAATAACAATATGAAATACAAAGTGGACAGTGCTTACTTCATTTTTATTACAAAGATGTGCACTATAAAAATCAAAGGAAAGAGTACTTTTCAATTCCTCCAAAATGAGCACAATAGTATAATTTCTTTATCATGAAAGCTGAATTTACAAATGTAGAATTATGTAAAAAAAAAAAAAAAAAAACCCCTGCATTCAAAAATGAAAAAAAAAACACAAAACTTAAGAGTTCAATCCAACTTCTTCTTCAGCCAGTTACTAGGACAAAAAAGTTTGTTTGCATTTGCAGGAGATAATTCTCTCCACTTCTTGTTTACAATGTCACCTGAAAGTGAAAACGGGCATTTGCACAGCACTGTTGTAGCTGGCATAGCAACTATTTATGTGCCAGTTGCACTGAAGATGCATAAGTCCCTTCATTTTTCAACCACCATTCCAGAGGATGTGCATTCATGCTGATGACTGGTTGTGCTCGATAATGATCCAAAGCAATGTGGACTGATGCATGTTAATTTTCATCATCTGAGTCAGACACCACCAGCAGAAGGTTGATTTTCTTTTTTTGTGGTTTTGTAGTTTTCACATTGGAGTTTTCTTCTTTAAGACTTTTGGAAGCATGCTCCACACCTTGTCCCTCTCAGATTTTGCAAGTCACTCAGTCTTAAACCTGGGATTGAATGCTATAGCTATCTTCAAAAATCTAACATTGATACCTTCTTTGCGTTTTGTCAAATCTGTAGTGAGGTGTTCCTACAAACACTCACAGCAGGCTGGGTCATCATCCAAGATTGCTATAAATGTAATATATGGCAGATTGCGGAAAATACAGAGCCAGAGACATGTAATTCTTCCTGGAGGTAAGTCACAAATTTAGTTAACACATTTTTTTAAAATGAGCATCATCAGCATGGAAGCACATATTCTGGAATGGTGGCTGAAGGGACATACAGATGTTTAACATCTCACAGGAAATACTTTGCAGTGTGAGCTACAACAGTGCCATACAAATGCCTGTTCTCAGTTTCAGATGACATTGTGACTAAGAAGTGGGCAGCATTATCTCCCATAGTTATTTGTCTTATTTGTTTCACTGACTGGCTGAACAAAAAGTAGAACTGAAAGGACTAGTAGGCTCTATAGTTTTACATTGTTTTGCTTTTGAATACAGTCATGTAACAATAAAAAATCTAAATTCATAAGTTGTACTTTCACAATAGACTGCATTGCAGTACTTGTATTAGGTGAACTAAAAAATATTTCTTTTATCCTTTTTACTGCACAAATATTTGTAACAAAAATGTATTATATACTTGAGTTTGTGAGTGCGTCCATCCATTTGTCCAAGAACTCCTTCTAAATGGTAAGAGTAAGGCAAATTTGGCATGCAGCTTCCTCTTATCATAACTTAAAGTAAAAGTCTGGTTGTGCCAGAACAATGGGATGTGCCTGGAATGTGATTATTTTTCATAAAATGGAAAGGGAGGACTCTGCTAACAGGGACAGTTATACTATATAATGACCACAAAGGGCAGCAAGGGGCCAAAAATGGGAACTGGGACAGCAATAGCCCCATTGGGGCAGCAGGGGTTAGGGGTGGAGAAAGAGACAGTTATCTATAATATATTTAAGAGAATTTGTCTGTTTGTGTGTGTGTGTGTCTGTCTGTCTGTCTCTCTCCATCCGCCCCCAGCTGGGGGAACATGTACCCCCCTCAGCTATGCCCACTGCCGTGGCCAAGGACAGGCACTTCTCACGGGCCCTAAGCTGCTGTAGTGAGAGAGGGCTGGGATTGTCCTCCCCAGTAAAAACATGAAATTATGCAATTAATCAAAACTTTCACAGAACACATGGTATACTAGAAGTGTCTTCTAGCTTCCGGAAAACTCTTTGGAAAGACCAATAAATGTATAATATGTTTAGACTCTGAGGCTGTGTCTACACTACATGCCTCTGTCGGCAGAGGCATGTAGATTAGGGTTGTAGGCAAAGGTAAATGAAGCTGCGATTTAAATGATCGCGGCTTCATTTACATTTACATGGCTGCCGCGCTGAGCCGACAAACAGATGATCAGTTCAGCTCGCTGCTCGCTGTCGGCTCGCTGCTAGTCTGGACGTTCCCCCTGTCGACATCAAAGCCCTTTGTCGGCAGCCCCGTTATTCCTCGTGGAATGAGGTTTACCGGGGCTGCCGACAA